ATCCTTTTTCGCCTTAACGCAAGAGCACTAAACCACAGAGGATGGTTACATCAGCGATTTTTTCCGCCAGTTTAGCGCGAGCAGCGAGCACTCGCTCTGTAGTGACGTTACCAGGCCCACTCGAAACAAGTTTTATGCGTTATTGGTGTAGGAGGATAATATGGTTTAGGGCGGGTATTATAAAACTGCTTTGACAGTTAACTTGAAGTTAACTTTTTGAATTACATGTAATTCCAGAAGTTAACCTAAAGTTAACTCTCAGAGTAGTTTTATAATACCCGCCCTTAGACATTATTTTGGTTTTAATGCAATAAATTTCGCAAAATTTTATATTAAACTCATCGAATTTTCATTACAGAGGACGGGATACGTCAAGCGCCCGGTCTTTGAACTTTGCGGTTGGCTAGAATAGGGTACTTGCATGGAAAATTAAATTGATTATTGTTTATTGCAAACTGTAGGAAATCGAAAAAAAAAATTACTTTTATTTACGACTAATGTATAATGTAAGGATTATACTTGTGATTTTGGCAGTATAATGACATATGTTATTCCTCCAGGGATTAATGACGAGTAGCGGGATTAATGGTCATTATTCCACAAAAGTGTCAGTGTCAAACGTGTAGTGCTTGTGGATTTGTATTGAAAATTATGAGACGGATGAAATTTGTTCATTGAAAATCGCAAATAAATTAATTTGTCGTAAATAAAGTAGAGTATACTACTCGCAATAATGGCTATTATTCCCTCGGAATGTTACTCCCTCGTCGCTAACGCGGCTCAGTTCGTAATAATCCTCGGGAATAATAGCTATCATTATTGACTCGTGGTATAATCTATTATTATTCATTAAAAATGTCAAATAAATTAATTTGTCGTAAATAAAGTAGAGTATACTACTCGCAATAATGGCTATTATTCCCTCGGAATGTTACTTCCTCGCCGCTATCGCGGCTCAATTCGTAAATATTCGTCGGGAATAATAGCTATCATTATTGACTCGTGGTATAATCTACTATTTTTTAATTTCACCCAAATATGATTATTCCGGAAGTTATACAAATATTAAGTTTTTTATATATAGATATACTGAGCATGTGCGACGTCACAACTCACAACGTATTATACCTAAGTTATGACATCTGAAGGACATTTCAAAGCGTTGTATCTCCGTCAATTTTTGACTAACAAGAAAAAAAAAACACGTGTTGACTTATTTTTCATGGACTATCGAAATCAGCAATAAAAAAATTTGATGCAAGGGGCCTATTGGCGAACGCGGCGCTCACGACACGAGAGCGACTATATCCTCTTGTGGTTTATCGTTATTGGCCGACCCTGGACGTAGGCTGTTTGCAAGGATGATACACACAGGAATGTTCCAAACTGCACAATTGTGCATCAATATGCACACTTTCAATTTATATGCACAGTATGTACACAATCCCTTAATATGCACATTTTGATTTCTAGAATAAATCTGCCACAATTTTTTAGTCAATAAATAAAACACAAAATATTCTGAATTTGGAGTTTCATTTCAGGAAATTTGTGCTGAGTGTAACTACACTATACTCTATACATATTCCCGTACTCTATACATACTCCTTTACTCTATACCCAGTCCACTTTACTAACCTGTACGCCACCAAGGCTGATACACACTAATACTACAGGATGGCCTATCCTCATAAGGCCTGTGTGGAACAAATCCCCCCTAACCTCAACACCGGTTGTGACGTAGGCAGCATGTTATTTCTCGCCTTGACGTAAGTTGTTTAAACAGCTGACGACTTAGTTATTACGTCGGAAATGGTGATACACCAATATGGCGGCGATCACCACCAAAAACGAGGCCGATAAGCAATCCTGTAGATGTGTATTATCCTTGGTACGCCACTGCCCAGCCGGACCCAGCCCAGTTCAGCCTGCTAGACAATGAAAATACAAAATATTGGCAATCGGAATTGACAACGTTGTAATAATAAACATACAAATTGGCAAACGGCAATATTGAAAAGCAAAACAAGGGGGATGCATATTTTGTGTCAGATAGGTATGCCCCCTTTTTATACTGTCAAGTGCACATTTACAAATTCTCTCGGAACATCCCTGGATACACACCTACAGGATTGCTTATCGGCCTCGTTTTTGGTAATCGCCGCAATATTGGTGTGTCACCATTTCCGACGTCATAACTGAGTCGTCGCTGTTTGCCCTAGCGGTCGTAGTTTAGAATTTAAATTTATGAAGAAAATCATTATTCAATTTTGATTAACATAATAGGCAATTAATGTAGGAAAACCAAGTATGCATAAAGCATAAGCCTGCGGAATCATAACCTGTAGTGCAAACAGCCTACGTCAAGGCGAGAAACAACATGCTGCGACGTCACAACTGGTGATTTGGCGTGGTAGGAAATTTCAGATTTGTTCCACACAGGCCTTTGTATTACACTATCCGATGCTTTCAAACTTAAATTAAAATGTCCGCCAGGAGGTACACAAACGCACAAACCCTTTGGTTATGTGTTATCAAATGGTGTTATGAGTTTTAAATAGTACTAATTGTGAATTATTTGCGTTGTTATACCTACAACAGCATAAATAATAACAGCAGTATGCAACATCCTCTTTTAACTTAAAAACGCTTTTCTAAACTGGTCACTTTTAAAAATGTGTACCTATTCCAAACCATACAAATTTTTAAAGGTACCAGTTTTAAAAAGCGCTTTTAAGTTAAAAGAGGATGTTGCATTCAGCTGTAAGTGTTTTAATATTTTTAAATAAACTCAAAAGAAAACAAAACATAAAACTCCTACAAGTCACCTTTAAATCCTTGATTCTTAACCTAACCTAATACCTAAATTAGCTCGCAGTGCTCGCACTTGCATTCTTCTGGTTTTTTTTTTGTGGACATTGGACACTTTTATTTAACCTGTTTATAGAGAACTTGTTTTACGCCACCATGTAACGTTTTTTTTTCCTAAAATACCCAAAAAACCTATTTTTCCTAGAAACCCCCATAAAATCAAAAAGGGTTTAAACCCATAACTGAAAAAACCCGGGTGGGTTTAAACCCAAACCGGGTTTTTGGGTTTAAACCTAAAAATCCGTGGACCCATCACTGGTTGTTTTTATTAATGTTAGAAATAGTGTATTTGTATTTAAATAGTGTATGTAAATAGTAGTTTGTGATCTTCCTGTCGGCCATATTTTGCTTGTCAAAGTCAGGTGTTTTGTTGGATAGGCTAATAAAAAACTCCGTTCGTTTGTGTCAGAATAGTCATTGTTCTACAGCAGTTACCAGTTGAACTGGTGACGCCACAAACCTGAAATATCTTACGCTCAGCTCAAGTTTGTGCGACTACATAGGTTTCTTTTTTGTGTTGTTCGGAGCAGCACTTCCTGTTTTGTAGCGTTCGTTTGTGTTATGGCAATGACCAAACTGTTCAGTTCATGTTCAACCTGCACTTGCTTTCGAGGAGGAGTAAGATAAGGACGCCTAGAATAAAATGTCAAAAACGCTACATTTATAACGGTACCCTGTACCCTGTTCCCCCATTATTCCTTTATATAAAAAAGGCTGGCAGCCTGCAACGTCATAGTCACAGTCATAGTCCTTTCCACTATCCTCACCACTTGATAAAACAAATTCGATTTCGACATCGTCATCCATTAAAAAAAATCTATAGTAATTATCCAGATCTGCCACAAATCAAATCCAGTAATCCATAAAACAGTAGATAATCGGAATATAAATAAATTCAATATGGCGTGGCGGCCAAGCAGGTGTTTTGAATGTGCGTTTTTAAGCGTATTTTAATTATTTTGCTCCCAGTTTTGCTCGCAACTTTGATTTTGATAATTTAATAAAATATTTGTTGACTAGGTATGTACGTAAACTATTAAGGGCGGGTATTATAAAACTGCTGACAGTTAACTTGAAGCATTGTATAAAGAGACTTTTTATACAATGCTTGAAGTTAACTTAATGAATTACATGTTATTCCAGAAGTTAACTTTAAGTTAACTCTCAAACTAGTTTTATAATACCCGCCCTTAATCGGTAGAAAGTAGAAACTACAAAAAAAAAAACACCATTTTTTCCAAGATAGATTTTGACATTGTCAAGTTTGAAACGTAAACAATACCGCTTGGCTCTGATTGGTCGCAAAATGAGGCGTCCCTGCAGGTTGACATCAGTTTTACAATGCATGTCGTGCAAATGGAATCTTGCGACCAATAAGCAGCATTGTTCATGTTTCAAAGTTGACAATGTCAAAATCTATCTTGGGAAAAAATAAACTGATTTTTTTGTGTTTTTTGGTCCATGTGTGGTCGCCACGCCATCTTGAATGTCACGTGGTTTGGATTGCATAATAGGTAATTTCTTGCGCTCAGTTCAAGTTAGTGCGACACAAACAAATAATTCTTTATGTCGTTCGGGGATAACTTATTTACGTTCTGACACTTAAGTTACAGTTCTCTGTTTGCATTAATTGTATCCCTTTCACACCTAGGAGAAGCTCCGGAACAGCTCCGGGGCGTTACGCGCTTATTTCTTTCGGAAAGTGTCTGTTGCACCTGCAGTGCACAAGCCCAAGTCAAACCATTCAAATGTATGAAAGCCAGCGCATCTGTTCCTTTCAAATCGGGGTCGACTAACATCGGAGCGAGTAGCTCTAGTGTTCTAAACTCTTGAAAGGAATACGCTAATTGTTTGCAACTGTTTCGGAAAGTGATCCGTAAACAGAGCCTATTATCTCCAGACATTCGTTTTAATTTTACTGCAGATTTTTGGATTCCATTGGAACACTGGTGCTGCACTTTTTGTTCTGAGTGGCTCTGAAACCACACGAACATGAATTATTGCTCTGTTCTCCCAAGCGAGCAAAGTGCGCACTAGTGCAACACTTTTTCTGCCAATTCAATTCGCATAAGTTGTTTATAGATGGCGCTAAGATAGTTTTACATTTGACAGATGTAAAAGTCATATTCAAAATTTAATATTTGGCGCAATTGGATAAAAAATTGTATATTTTAATTCCACTTATTTTAAATCACTAGAATTTATTACCTCAAGTAAGTAGTGTACCAAAACATAACTAATTATCGAAAATTTAATATTAGCAATTTTAAATTTTGAAACAATTAGTGCGGCCTGCGGCGCGCACTCATGCGCGCTTGTTTTGTTGTAATTGAACTTTTTTACATCCATATTTTACAATTTTTACATGATTCCTTTTAAATTTTCTGTATCAAAATGACTATAACATATTACGATGACATTAAAGTTTACTTTCACATGCGAAACCACTATAGGCACCTCAAAAATGTTAAAAGTGTTGTAGATACCTCAACACCTCAAAGTCTGCTGAAGTCTCCGATGGCAATGAACAATAATTTAGATAAGAGTATTAAAGGAGCCACGAATGAAAAATTGAGGTAGGATTTCAATTGATAAAGAGCTAAAAAATTTATTTTTTCAAATTTATAGACGAATATACACTGGCAGTTTCACGCAAAAAAAGAAAAGCTTTTTTGTAAAACGGCAGGACTCCTTAAATACAGAAGGTAAAAGCAACCAGACGGATAGGCCAAATACCAGAAGAAATTCTAATGCAACTCCAGAAACTGTAGTAAGTAAATTTTGGATTTTAATTCAGATTATAAATACATTTTTTTAGTTCCCACCAAAATCTCAATCCTCAACCATCTCCAAATGCGAAGAAATGTTTAAATTTAACCAAAAGCGACGACGAGTAGTGACCAGCAGCCCTGACATTAATGCTGCTAATTTACATTTAAATTTACCAATATCAGAATTTGACCAGGAGGAATCAGTCCCAGTCAGTGAAAGATCAAAGGGAGGATCAGGATCAGTTCCTGTTAGCAGGAGATCAGGAGAAGGATCGGGATCAGTTCCTGTTAGTAGACAATTAGAGGGAGGATCGACATTATCTGGTCCTGAAGGATGTTATAAAAATGTGAGTGCTGGATGGTCAAATAGAGCACAAAGGTGAGTAATTACGTACTGCAATATATTGAATATTGCCAATAACAGTTTAGCGCATTCCTATTCCTAGCTTCGCACTCTTTCGTCTAACGAAATATATTTCATCGAAGAAATACAAATTTCAATTGCAGGTACTCTAATAATTAGTTGAACATCATGCTAGAAGCTTTCAGGCTTTTTTTACTCAATTCTCCCTGCATCTTACGTTTCTGTTGTGTTTTGCAGTAGGACATTTTTTGTGTCCTATTAGTAAAGAAGCTGTTCTCCAGGAGTTTTTTTTGATGATTGAGTCATAAGTTGGAATACTGAAGATGAATTTCCTATAAGGTGATCTTGTTCGACCATTAAGATTAAGGACTCTTCTTTAAAAAAATGGAGCAAATAATTGTAACCAGTTAACAACTCGAATTTGGAAAAAAATTATTTTCTTACTTCTCAGTATGAGGACCACCTTAATGTATTGAATCATTAGTAGGGCGGGTGATATTTTTCAAAAGTTACTAGGCATATTTTAATTATTTATAAAAAAAAAAATGTAATTTCGATAAAATTGCTTGAAAGTTTCTATTGTTACGTACAGGGTATTTGATTATATTTAAGCCCATATCTACAGCCTAGCTTTACGATATAAGATAGAAAAAAAAATCAAATAAAAAACTTGAGTTATTTTCTATATGTATTTTCTTTTAACGGTATGAGAAAAAACGAAATCGCATCGGAAAATGGAGAAACGTAGACAACTTCGACTTTTTTAATGGAATACCTCAACATCCTCTGTATATTATGCCGTTATGCGATAAAATGAAAGATCTTTTCTTCCTGATTACAAATATACAGTGTTCCACGAACATCGAATCAGAGGCGTTTTAGGGTATTTCAAGGTCGATTAAAAAAACGCTCGGACACGTCATTTTTGTATTCAACGGGGAAACTATTTGACCCCATCGGTATTTCGCTAGGGTGCACCCCCTGGGTGGGGTGACTTCCATCCCTCTTTTTAACCCTTTTGACACAGCTTTCAGTTTTCGCGACTATAATGTTTTTTTTTCAAATTTTTAGCTTTATGACGCTCCACGAAGAACGTTTGAAGAAAAAAAATGAAATGGGGGGAAATGAGGATGGTATACATATATGTACCAGCAGTGGTATAAAAAATTTATTAGTGGTACCATTATGAACCATAAGGGTTGTACAAACTAGAATTCACGTGCATCAACTGGTACAAACACGGATATGAGGCGCCAATATGATATTTTAGTTAGCATCGGCCTCGGCAATTTTAATGAAAAAATACATGGTTAGTATGTGGTGGTACATATACAGTGCCCGCGGAAAAGTCTGCACCATATGGGAAATTTTTTTATGCTTCAAATCGGTTTTCGGCATTAGGTTCTGCATGACTGAAAACCAAAAAAATACCTAAAATTTTTGACTCAAGTCTTGCCTCAAATGCCATTTGAAAATTTCAAACAAGGAAAAGTGGCATTTTTATAAAAAATATGAAAAAATTTTAGAAGAAAATATTGTTCCAAATGACATTTAGGAGTAGTTTATAAACAAACTATTTGAAATTTCAATTTGAGAAATCTAAAATTTTCAAAATAGTCCAGAGGCGTATCAAAATTTTAATAGAAATATTTCTTTTTGATATTTAAACTCTTAATTAGATTATTAAGATTTAAAAAACCATTAGTCAGATACAAACTAATTATTTTAGAGGAATAGTCGCGAAAGAAATCCTAAAAATATTATTTTTCCGTGGATATTCGAAATTTTTTTTAAAAAAAAATCTTTTTTTTTTTTCAAAGTAAAAATATCAAATTAGACTAAAAATGTCATTTGGAACAATATTTTCTTATAAAATTTTTTCATATTTTTTATAAAAATGCCACTTTTCCTTGTTTGAAATTTTCAAATGGCATTTGACAGGTGTGAGGTAAGTCTAGAGTCAAAAATTTTAGGTGTTTTTTTGGTTTTCAGTCATGCAGAACCTAATACCGAAAACTGATTTGAAGTAAGGATGAGCATAAAAAAATTTCCCACATGGTGCAGACTTTTCCGCGGGCACTGTATGTATATACCCGCAGTAGCGAAAGGGTTAGGATAGGGAAGATGGGTCGAGTGGTACCTTGCGTATTTTTTTTTGGAAAATCGAATGATTATAGTTCCCAAGATATTCACTGTCAAAGTTGCCATGGGCTAGATAAGAAACAATCCTCTGGAAACAATCCCTGTTATTCTCAAATTAACTCTTTCCTGACTTTCCTCTCTGACACGTCAATTTCAATTTTTTGTGTGCTTCTAGAAAAATGAAAATTGACGTGTCCGAGAAGAAAGCCAGGAATGTGATCAGGTCATTCAGGAAGAAAAGTTCTTTCATTTAATCGCATAATATACAGGGTGTTCCATTAAAAAAAGTCGAAGTTGTCTACGTTTTTCCATTTTCCGATGCGATTTTGTTTTTTCTCATAAAAAGAAAATATAGGAAAAAAAACTGTTAAGTTTTGTATTTAATTTTTTTTTTAATCTCAAATAGTGAAGGCTGTAGGTATGGGCTTAAATATAATCAAATACCCTGTACAAGCGGGTGATCTATTATAAATATCACCTCCTCTCAACTTTTCTATTTGACGTTTTTGATAAAAGTGTCAAATACAAAAGTTTTAAGAAATTATTAAAAGTTTTTAACTAAAGGGCACAGACTGCGTTTTTGTTGGACGGATTTGTTCGACGGGCAAATCTGGTCGAGCAAAAACGACGCAAACAAAAACGCAGTCTGTGGGGGCCTTAAGACAGTTTCAAGCATACAGGGTGCGTCAGAAAAGTGGGAAGTTTTTTTCTTTTAAATGGAACACCATGTATATTGTGCGCTTATTTGTTGATCCCTTTCAACCTGATTTCAATAATATACGGTTTGATATGTCTATCTTCAATAGTTATAAGGAAAAACATGAAAATTCCTTTCAAGGTCTCATGTTGAAGAAAGAAAAATTATACCATTTTAAGCTTCAGAGAAAATTCTTTATAAACAATTTAGTGTTCAAATATTATTAATTAATTTACAAGGTGGAATATTATAATAAATCCAGATGTCTTAAGTTATTCATAATGAGAAAATTACAGCAAAAATTGCTGTTTAGTGTTGAATCTTTGTCTTAGATGGCGCCACGATCAAATTTCGACCGTTGTGTTATTCATAATGTCAGGCTCTGGCTTGCCTGTCAGAAATCTTGAGTCCATTTATTCCAAATTCAAAGTCCAATTTACACAACAATAATTTATTCCACGTTACTATTCACTATACACACTCCTCTCTGACACTAATTACTTCACTAATTAACTCAAACAACTTTACCCTTTTTAACTTTTACAATAATCACTATCTAAAACGTATCACAGCCAAACTTGAACTAAAACTACTAACTAATACCGGCCTTCATATATCCGTAATCTATTCTTGTAAAATACAGAATAAACGCGATAGCACTTTTTCCCGAATAGCACTGTAAAATCTAGAATCAGCTGTCCAATTCTGTACACCCTGGCGCTTCCGCCAGATCTTCGCGACACTGCCCTCCTCTTAAGGTTGATCGTCCCAATCAACTTCGCGTCCATGATATTTCGCTGAACTCGAAAAACCAAATCAATAATCCTCTTGATTATTCTGTACGGTCCTTCCTTCCCATGTTGAACACAATTTTGGCGAATCGCCTTTCTTTCTTGCTGGATTATACAGCTACACTAAATCACCTTCTTGAAATCCGGCTTTCAAGTCGTAGGTATTTCGTCTTTATTCGCTCACTGGCCAGCTGAATATATTCCCGAGCTAAATTATGTATCCCTAGAAGTCGTGCCCATACTTCGTCAGCATAATCTCGAATTTCTTTTCATTCGTCTTCAGGTATTCCAAACATCAGATCGCAAGGTAACGCTGGAACTCTGTAACGGATAAGGATCGTTATTCCTATCGCTATGGCACTTGCAGTCTTCTTCTTGTCGAAATCAATAGAGAGGAGACGTCAATAGAGATAGCCCTGAGTTCCCTTCCAAAAACGATTCTAGCTGGACCTTCACCTGTTGACTCGTGAACAGCTGCTCTGTGAGCCATTAAAAATAGAGGCAAGTGTTCCTCTATGGTCTTATTAAATCGTTCTACCATGCCATCAGACTGTGGATGTAAAGGTGTTGTCCTTGTCTTACGAATGCCCATAATCTCACAAATTTTCTTGAAGATGGCAATTCGAAGTTTCGTCCCTTATCTGAATGCAATTCTTGTGGCACACCATGACGACTAATAACTTCGTCCACTAGCACCTGGGCAATAGTGATGTGATGGCTTCTTGATTGGTAATAGCGAAAACTTCTGGCCATTTACTGAAGTAATCCATGATAACCAGGATTTATTTGTTACCACGCTCTGACTCAGGGAACGGTCCGGCAACATCTATTCTTTCAAATGAGAGACCGACGTTGTACTGTTTCATGGGCTCCCGAGATCTTAGTTTAGGGCGTTTACCGATAGCACAGATGTCGCATTTTCGGCACCAGTTCTTAACGCCTTCATGATAGTGAGCTTAGTAAAAACGTTCCCGAATTTTGTCCAAAGTCTTGTTAACTCCAAGATGTGCCCCTGAAGTTCCGTCATGTATTTCTTTTAATACATCAATCAATTAAAAAAGTACTTTATTGTCAAAGAAGTATTATAGCTACAATAAATCTTATTGACAAAGCATAATATAGAACAATACAATATTACTAACTAAGCTTAAAAAGTAAGAAAATTATTAAAATTAACAAAAACAACATGACCCACTGGAATTAATAAATAGTGAATGAGACCTTGCAAGAACAAAACAAGAACAAAGACAGTTGACACTGTTGACAGTGCAAACAAATACAGCATACAATACAGAAAAATCTCTGGAAAACAAAAACCACCAATCTGACAGAATTAGGGGATAAAATTATTTCATTTAACAACTACACTATATAGTACTTAACAA